GTACATTAGCAGGCTCAATCGGAGTTGTGTAAAAAACGTGTCACACCATCTCACTAGTTGAACTGTAGCAACAAAGAAAGACTTGCTTTCATTTTCAACTGTTGAAAGTTGTTTGTTTTCTGAATACATTTAATGTCTTACACATGTAGTATTTTCCTTTCTACTTATGCTCATAACTTATTAATTGATGAAAGTGTAAACCATTTATAAGTTTTTACGAATACGTTAGTTGGTTCATTCTTGTAGAAGGAAGATAATTAAGTACTTAAGATCAATATATTTTTTGTCTTATTTTATTGAGTCATTTAGTTTAAGGTAAAAAGTTTCAAATGATTCGTGCAATGGATTGTAAAGATTGTGTTTTGAAACATTTAACAACATATCAAATTCACATTAAGATTATTTCACTAACAACAAAATACTTTACTGTGATAAGTGGTATCTACTTCTCCATAGTATACTTTAATTGGTACTCACCGTTGCATCGTTGCATGAAAACCTTTTTTGATGCTTGTATTAGTTCCTGTTACTAATTGAGCACATCATCTGTTGCTATCGATAACGTATTCATGATAATCATATGGAACTTCGGATTAGTAGTTTATATAGTAGGCTGATAGCAAATATTTCTCACATTCATGGAGTAGATCAGTCCCTGTGAAGTTAGAGCTACTTGAGGTTATGCTCATTATTACATGTTTAACGAAGTTAAACAGGAACGATAGTGGTGGGTATTTCCGACGGACCTCAGTAGTTGTTGTCAAACCAGATGACAACTCTCCAAACTGTGCTACAGTTCTCTGCATTCTTCTGAGTGGTTTAAAAACATGACTATTGGAAGTGTGGGGCATGTGAAGGGTTCAGGTGGTTAACTTCAGTTGGTTTCTTTAGTGTAAGCCGTGTGATATGGCTCAGAACAGACCTGAGGGGCGCAGATGTTTCCTTACATTATCTTCGCATCAATCGTGATACTGAGTTATAGTATTCTGTTATCCCACTGTAATCTCTTTTGATGACATCCTACCATTTTGACTGCTTTCTTCTTTATTTCTCTGTGTCACATCTGAGTGCATTCTCGCTTGAAGCACTGATCTGAGGTGTGGTGACTTGGACTGTTACGCAGTAATGCCTTGTTGAATATCGATATTGTTTGTCTGTGCGGGAGGTGCAGGTGTGAATTTTAGTGAGTGTATCGCCATTTTTGTCAGAATGAGAGGAAATAGTTGTTGAAGCTACTGTCGACAAGGATGGGTCTGTGTTGTGGTTCTTCTATGGGTGGGATACTTTAATGTCAGTTCCACTTATCCGTAGGACTCCTTGTTTGTTTTCCATTTTGCTTCAATACGTCTTTTTTCTTAGTTTCATAGCATAACTTGTGATGATGAAACATTTTAAATCATAGTTACTTCATGGAAATGGCTCATTTGTGATAGAGTCGATGAGTTAACTGAAGACTATCATATCAGTACATAGTACTGTTACATGAAGTGAATAGCTATTTGTTTTGTCTGAGGATTATACAGTGTAAAGAGTCAAGCGTTGGTTACTCTTCAAGGTATAGTTTCTATACAGTACATGTAGTTGCAGTCGAAATGACATTACTTTTGTAGACAAATACACTTTAATAATTTAAGGATCCCCATGCACTGAGAAGGCCGACTGAGGACATCACGCGCCAGGCCCTCGAGTGGAACCCAGATGGGAAGCGACGAGTTGGACGTCCAAGGGTGACATGGAGGAGGTCGTGCGAGGAGGAAATGAGAGCTTCTGGGCTGTCGTGGGACCAGGTCCAAACGATCTCAGAGAACAGAGGTCACTGGAGGCGTGCTACTGAAGCCCTATGTTCCACTAGGAACCCAAGGGACTAATAATAATAATAATAATAATAGATTATTCAGAACAAGAATAATTTGAGCGAACAATTGTTTTCAATAACTTCTTCAGACTCAACAGTTATAAATCCATGTGGATAAGTGATATACAACAGCCGAAATAAGGCATGATGTACAATTTTTTCAATATTGAAACAGTCAGTGTTATGGGGGAATGGCGATCAAATCGAATGGGGTGATGGAACTGTTGTCAGTCTTGTTTGTTTGTTCCGCAATGAAATCAATATTGACAGTACAGTTACGAAATGAGGAGACAAAATCTACAGATCATGATTCATTTATATACATTTATTGGGGCATGAATGTGTGTGTGTGTTTGTTTACTAAGGGTCAAAGAATAATTATGTAGTAATGAGTTATATTCAGGTGGGATGAAAATGATGTGAATACTATAACGTCATGGTTGAAAATGACTACAGGTTGTGGTATAAATAAAGATATTTCTGAACGTTTCGCTGTGTAAACCATAGCTTCTTCAGTAGAATATACGGGTTTCATTCACAAAATATATAGTCAAATGATACATCAAATATATTTAGTGAACGTAGGTCATTGGCTGGATGATTTTCCTTTCCAACCTGAGTAATTAAGATCAGTCATTACAAGGTCATGGTTGTTATCATTGTCATTTGTCAACGGATATATTAGATAGTCAAAGTATGTGTGCGTGTGTGTGTTTATATATGTTGTAGAACATGTTATTTATTGCACTTTTTTTTATAAAACTGTCCATAATTGTCATTGTACTTCAATTCGAAAAGTTCATCATTAATGATTTTGGTGGATTAATGTTTGCCAGACACGTGACAATTCTAGTCCTTTTCTGTTTATAGCATTTGATGTTAAAATATGCAGGTCCTCAGAAGTTAATCTTTCTTCACGTGAATGGGAACCTTTCCCGAATATGTCTACATTCTCAAAGTCAATCTTGTGTCCACTTTCGATTGCTATTGCTGATCGCTTCTCTAAAATTTTTAATTCTTCTTGATTCTTCGGTGGAGGTTTCGTACGTAACTTATATTCATTTACCCTAACTTTTAGGGGTCTACAACTTTCTCCAATATAATTAGCTTCACATTCCAAACATTAAATTTTGTAGACACAGTTGTTCTGTGTCATCTTAGGAACTGTATCTTTCACTTTGACTACGATCTTTCCTAGTGAATTTGAAGGTTCAAAACAGAAAACCATGTGAGGCGCACACTTTTAATCTGTTCAGAAGTACCTTTTCGATATGGTATCGTCATAGATGACGCCCATGATTTTGTTGTACCTTTATTACAAGTAGTAGTATTAGCAGTACTTGCTGTTTTATTCGTTTGACCGACAATGTTCTTCAAGAACTTCTCAGGATAACCATTTTCCACCAAAACATTTTGTATTCGCAAGATTTCATTTTTCAAATCATTGGGATCGGTTACGATATTTTTCACTCTTCAGTAGGTTTAATGCGACACTAGCCTTTACGTTAGTTGGATCATCCGATTGGAAGTCTAAATATTTATCGGAATGTGTTGGTTTTCTGTATATTTTCATACATAATTTACCTTCAGTCGTTCCTTGGATAAGACATCTAAAAAGTTCAGTGTCGTCGTTAGATTCTATTTCACTGGTGAATTCAATGGAATCTGAGAATTTTCTAGGAATTCCTATTGGTTTGCTTTCTTAACAACGACAAATGTGTCATCCACAAATCTATACCAAATTCTGGGTTGGCAATGAACGCTTCTTAAAGCTCTTTCTTCTAAAGCCTTCATGTAGAGAGTCGCCACGATTGGAGATACTGGTGAACCCATTGCAAATCCATCTGATTGACGGTACATTCTATCTCTAAACGTGAAATATGTAGATTCTAAGCAATGCTTCAACGATTTTATGATATTCCCTGTTGAAAGTGGACATTCAGATATTATATCTTGGTTGTTATTAATGGCAGTTCTTACAATATCTAGACATTCACAAATTGGTATACTAGTGAAAAGAGAAATTACATCGTAACTTGCCATAATTTCATTTTCTCCTATGGTCATATTCATTAGTTTATTTTGAGATCGTGAGCATTTTAATGTTCGAAGAAATGTTATATTGGAATGCTTTCAAAATTCCTGATAAATATTTAGATAGACGATAGGCCATAGGATTTATAAAGTCAATAATGGGTCAAAGGGGAATCCCTGTTTTGTGGATTTTTGGTCTACCGTAAAATCTTGCGACCGTGTTTGTCTTAGAAGCTAATGAAAACCATGTTGCATTCCCAAGTTTGAGTTTCATGTCCATCAGTAATTTTACGTCTCAGTTTCCATTTTATTTAGTGTGCTTGAATGCTTATTACTTGGGATGAGTTCATATGGTCCAGTTTCTAAATGCTCCAGTGCTTTCTTTTCATAGTCTTCTTTATGCAGCACGACCGTGACATTGCCTGACGTATTACAAGTATAGTAAAAACAAGTATAAACATTTATCTATCATATATATATATATATATATATATATATATATATATATATATATATATATATATGAAACAGCCAGATATGAAGAATATCAAACAGAAAAATTGTTTCTTTTGTTTGACCCAATGAATTCAAAGAAAGTAGGGTAGATACTTGAGGTTTACCAAGGGGTGTCAGAGCTGTATGGAATTCCGATGGAGTATATGTATTTGGTGTCGAAGATAAACGACCTGATATAAGCCTTTGAATTTTTAGCTTGCATGTTTATAATGTCACATGCACACGCAATAAGTGGTCTCACTGTGTTTGAAAATCGTGGAGCTTGCTCTCAAATGATTTGTAAAGCAGGTGAATTGTAATATTTCAATAGGCTATGCTAAACTGTAAGTTAATCATTGAGCAGAAAATATTCGCTCTAGCTGTTAATTATAATCATTTCTCTGTTTTCATTTCTTTGAGTTTTTCTGAAATAATTTTGATCGTGCAATGTTATTCCAAATTGTATATCCTTATCTAGTTCCACATTTGTTGGTAGTACGTTTTGTTAGGTTACTTTGCTGATAACTTCTGGGTATGGATTTTTGTGTGACTTTAGTCCATTAGTTTATTCAACTTCATTGTAGTCTTTTACCTTTATATTGATAAATGATGTAAAGTAGAACGCTATATTATATACTACTGTATCTGATCTGGATATTTCACCCTTGCGTTTTTCTCTGAAGTAATAAGTTTGCTTATATGTATTCTGTGTATCATTGCGTAACCCACTTCGAGTTTTGGTGATGAAGTGTTTTTGAGTTGTCGATGGCAAAACGGGCACAACTTTTAAGCTCTATGAAGAATTCTTACTTGCTCTAAACTATTTGCAGGTTGTTTATGCTTTAGGTCATGGTGTTACTGACTTAGTGTTATCGTTGGATTTATTTATTGTACTTAGAATGTGAGGATGGATATCGTTTTAACAACTGAATGTTTCTCATTGATATGTGAGTACTTGTTCTCGTATAATTCATGTAATAAGATGCAATTATCATGTAATAGATATAAATTTATCGTTCTGTTTGTCATTTTATTTCATAATCGTAGGTTGAATTGACTTCCTTTTTTGGCGAATTTCGGAAAAATGTATTGAATTACGCCTTTATGATGTACTAAAAAAGCTGTTTTTATTGTCAGCGAAATGGTGGTGTTCATCAGGTAGAGATGCATTATTAATAACATCAGTAATTTCTGCTTTGTTTTCGTTCATTATCTTACGTATATTATTTAGCCTGGATTGAAACAATAAAAGTAGCCGCTATACCAAGCTGCATCTGAATAATGGTCACTTTTAAAATGACCGGAGAAAGATGTAGTGCCAATACATGAAGTTACTGACTTCTATTCTTCTGAGTTGTGTAGGTTACCTTGGTATGTCGGTGGTCGTCTGTCGAAGAAGTGGTTTTCGAGTAGCACTGAACTTAGTCATCCTATATATCCTTAAAACATGAACATTGAATTTGACTATCCTGCTAAGTTTTTATCTATTCGACCACATTTACTGTCGTAAATTTAGTGTATGAACAAGGTGGTTGGGAGAAGTTTCAGGGTTGCCAAGTCAGGAAATGAAACTATAAGTAATATCCCAGACCCTGTGGGGAAACATGAAATCTCTTGTATGTGAAACAGTTAATAATCATAACTGGTAATCAGTCGCGGTGAAGATGCATCTGCACCTACTTTCCATCTGCACCTCGTAACCATCATTAAGGACACCTGTGTTCCTTTTTTTGCTGTTTGTGTTATCATTGTTTTGATTCCTTTGTCCTCCCCTTTGTTAATTTTCTCGCGCTGAAATACCGTCACGCGTGTCAATTTTGTCTTGTATTCCATTGTGCGAAGTTTTATGTTATTGGTGTCTGTTTGATTCTAAAGTAGTAGCATATATATTCTAGTTTTGAGATAAATATTTGGAATTTAGCATGTTGGTTTCTTGGTCTAACTTACATTCGTGTTGTCTTTATGCTTCGATAGGGACAATTTTCCTCTCCTCTTTTCGTTTGTCTGGGTTGTCACTTCCGTGTTCATTTTTTAAGCGGTTTATGTTTGTATCTTCTCTTGGGTAGTTTTTGTCTATAGCAAATAGGGAGTAATACCATGCTGTTATATTTCTACTGTGACAAGTGGTAAAGGATGGTCATTTTTAATACTGTGATGGAACTTCAGGTGTAGAATGAATGTAAAAGATCCCATTCATTTTTATTCTCCTGGTTATAATCAGAATCCTATTCATGATTTACTTTTTGTTTACATTCCTAAGAATTTCATTTTGGAATCATATGGTTGTATTTCTTTTTCGGATCATCATTTAGTTTTGGGTTTGAAATCTACCTATCGCTTTGACGATGATGTACTTCCATTTCATAATCATTTACAAAAATTGGTCTGAGCATTGGTGAAATCAAAATGTTCTATTATGAACAAACATAAATATAATCCAGTGTGGCTTAACAACAATAGGCGTATGCATGCGCAATACAGGCTGGAAAAAAGCCCGAGGTGACCAGACTAAAACATGACACGAATGTATGAAGTCTTCGACTGTTGGTTTGAGCCATGTGGGGTGATGCAGACTAGTCGGTTGGGGTCCGCCGGACAAGAGGAACCAGTGGTTGGAGACTCTAGGTGATATGGCTCAGAACCGATGTCAGTGGCGCAGATGTATACATACATTATCTTCATCTTAACGACGCTAAACCGAATCTCACCATTTTCTCATTCTTCCTTTCTCTCTTTTTGTACTTTATATTTCTTTTGACTGAATTTTCTTATCTTCATCTTGCGCCTCACTGCCTTTTTACTTGATGTATTGGTATGAGCTGTGGCAACTCGGATCGTTACGCAGTAATGCCTGGTCCTATATTGATATTGATGTTGATGCAATACACAATGAAAAATACCTAATGTATAAAGGTTAATTATACTTTTTGGTTTCTTGAATCTTAGTATATGGTAACCAATCTGTTTAAAGTTGAACGCGTAAACCAATAAAGTACAGCTCCACTTTGTAAGTTATGTTCACTCAAATTGTCAATTTGTTTTATGGATGGTGAACAGCAGCTTTAACAGAATACTATGGATCCATTTTATTTCGGGGTTTCTCATCAGCTAATTACAACCTTAAACAATTTTAACATCAATTTACATAAATGTTTGTGTACTTTAATCGATTTGATAGGAAACTATCGGCTTGAATTAAGGTTAACATTAAAATCACGCAATTGAAGAAACATAAATTGAATCCTTGCTATTCTACTAAAGGTCTTGTTCTTGCTGCATTTAAATTTATGAAGGGAAAACATTTTATGAAATCTGTAAATGATTGGCTTGTGTGCAGTGTTCATATATCGAACTAGTGACTGATTCGTATTGTCTTCTTGACAGATGTGCAGAATAATGCTCGGATAAGCCGTTAATAATCAAATTCATACATCATCATCCAAAAGCAGGAGAATTTGTACACATAATAAATTTGACGAGTTGAATAGGTTTTGGCAAATAGTTACAGTAATGGTTGGTTAAGTAACACTTGAAAATCAAGCGAAATGCTGAACAGATCCATGCTGTTACGAAGAAGACTGTATTTATGAACATTGATTTTAGAGGTGAAGCTGCAGCTGAAACCCCTGAGAACCGATTTTACAGATCGTTGAGGACATTTTTGCGAAATTACTAATTACCTTCTCCAGTCACCAATCGATTCCTGAGTGTGTTAAAGAAAATGTGTTATTTTGCGCCACTCATCTATGAAGCTGGTTTTATTGGATTCACAAAGTGTGCACTTTGCAAACCAATACCCGAGCATTATCCTGTACGTTTGTCCAAAGAAAGACGCAGCACAAAACAGTTACTATTTCAGTTTTCGAGCACCGTATCAATTCTCTCCACGTAACATCACCACAGTCTACCTTCCAAGTTATCTACGAAGTAAAGACCAACGGTTCAGAAGGAGTAGGAATTTACATCTTTTGTGTGGTGGATGGACTGATAATTCATCTATTCAAAACTGGATGTCTGTATGTAGAAAAAGTGCGTTCAGTCTTCCATCATGCCGAGGTCATGATTGCATTATGCTCTTTTAATTGACCACAACTATATTGATCATTATTGTTACCTTTATTATAACCTTCTCTTCTTTTTTCATCTTCAAACTTATCAAGAGGACTCTTAACTAGTCTGCTTCTATACCTACTTTCATTTCTTTCCCACTCTTTTCTTACTATTATGCCATCTCGTTTCATTTATAGAAACCGAGTTGAATACCACGCCAATGACATAATGCCATCTTACTATTCAACAAAAAACTGCTATATATTTGTTGTAGCTTTAAATAGGATTATACAGATTTTGATTATGACACTGTGAGGAAAGATTTTGTTTTCTTATCTTTTATTACTTCTCCTTATGACTTCATTAACATGTTTCATAGTCTGTAGTTAATTGTTTTAATTCTCTTAAGTATACGAGAATATTTTGTAACTCACTTGTATAGAATCCGAACACTTTTAATATCCGGGCGATTAACTTGAATTGGGTCTGTTGGTTGTTGACGTTTAGCAGGTATTGTTTCATACCTTGTAATTAGTTGTTTGCTCATGCTATTTCTGCATAATGACTACTACTGATTGTCATCAAACTACTTGTGATATCAATATATGCTTAGATTTATTTTTGTTTATATTGGAAGTTGTTTTTGTACCTCTTCGTCATACCTGAGTCGAAAACTCTTCAATTTATTTTCTTTTGTATGTACAGACGTTTAGCTGCCTAATTCCTAGCTATTGCTCATATATGTTTGCTAGATAAAATGAAGTAATTAAGCTGGTTTCTAATGCTATTTTCTCTTGAAGTGAATCATTCATAATTGCCATTATCTAGGCAATCATAAACATAGGTATTTCATCTCTGATTTTTTTGCATTTAAGCGTATATTCTTTTCTGTGTGTATGATTAAAGATGTTACATAAATGTTCATTACAGGTAGTCTGACCCTTCAATGGGTAGTTTTTAAATCTTTATTTATCCGTTTTGTTCTTATTATCCTTAGCTTAAGAGTGTTCAGTCAGAACAGTTATATTCTAGAGTGCCCTGAAAGCCTATTATCACAATCAGTTTTTATCGTCTTAGTTATAATTGAGTACTGAAGATGAATTGTAAGGTTTGGTGTCGTCTTAACTGGGAATGAATAATGTTCAGTTCGTTTCTGCCGCTTCTCAGATATTTGAGCACTGCTGTTTGACTAGGAACCATCTTACTTTTCTTTCGGTTATTCATGTTTACTGAGAAAATTCAACATATTCAATCAGGATTATAATCGCCGTCTCCAACACAGACTTAGTCTACAAGTAACACCAAAATATACGCTAGATAAGGTGCACAAAAGTATGAAGCTGTTAAGCTCAAAATGATAGAACATATAAACAGTAGTGGTAATAGTAATAATAATAATAATGGTGCACTGATTACTATTCTTCATTAGAGCCATTTAAAATGTAGTGGGGATCTAAAGTATAGTAACTAATAAGGTTTCCGTGTTTTAAATCGATCCTTTCTCTGGTGAACGTAGTCATAGTTTCTGTTCAGCTGTTGAATTTCGCAGCTATATTCAGTGAAATCATTACTGACAAGTACGCTATTTCGATTTCCGATCAGTATAATAGTGATATCATTGTACTACCGAGGTTAGTGAAAGATTTATAATTGACATATTGCTAGTTCCGTAGACATTACTTTTGTACAATGTTTAGTAAAGAGCATTATCCCTAATGTAATTAATTAAAATGCTACAGCGTTATAGGAGTGTATTTCAAGCAATTGTATTACTGTTTTAACAATAAATTAACTTGAGTTGCCACAAGATACTTTTTTTGTATTTTTTTCATCGGAAAACCAATGTATGTGATCTCTTAATCGATTATGTTTTTCAAAACTTCTACTATTGATTTTTCGTTTGAAATCTAAATTTTCTTCCTTATCTTC